ACCTTGTCTTCTAGCTCACTGATGTGGTCCTCTGCTTCTTCTAGTCTACTGTTGATGCTTTCTATTGAGTTCTTTATAGCAGTGATGTCATTTTTCATTTCTTCTTGGTTCTTCTTCATTTCCTCTTGGTTCTTACACATATTGTTGAATTTGTCTTCCATTCTTTTCATCCACCTTATGACCATTTCTCTGAATTCTTTCTCTGACAGGTTGCTTGCCTCCATTGCCTCCATTTTGTTTACTTCCTTTTCTGGTGATGCCTTTTTTTCTTTCATATGCGGGCTGTTTCTTTGTCTCCCCATGATCTCTCTTCTCCAGTTGTTTGGTTATTGGGGGTTGTTTCTTTGTTTCCTCATTTTGGCTTTCTGTTTGGTTTTGTGACTATGTATTAGGTAGATCCTCTACACCTCTCAATCTTTAGTGCAGGACAGTGTTAAAGGCTGTTTCTGACTAATTAGATCAGGCTTAGACTCAAAGTCGCCAGAGACCACCTCTGCCTACAGACTGATAGGATTCCGACTTGAATTGCCCCCAGGCAATTGTCCTCATGTGTGGCGGGAGTTTTTTTTCAACAGGGTGGGGCAGTTGCTTCTGCCTGGAGGCTAATTGTTATTTTTAATCTCTTAAGTTGCCTCAAGGCAAGGTGTTTTCCAATAGGGTATGTGGACTGTCTTCCCCCCAGGCAAGGCAAATGTCTATGTGGGAAAGATGTCCTCTGCTGTGTGAGGGAATGACCCAGCCCAGGAAACTTGGGGTGTCTGTCTTCTGAGCTCTATCCCCCAAGTCATCAGTCCTGCCTTCTGCTCTCACAGCTCCAGTCCACTTCACCCTTCCTCTGCTAGAGCACAAGGTGGGTGGCTCCACAGGGAATTTTGTGCATTGGCTCTTTAAGAAGGTTCCTGAATTTTCAGCTGTTTTTCCCTGGCAGACAGCACTCTGCTGCTTTTTATATCCAGATGTCATGTGGGTACCCTTCTCAGTTTGGTGCTCTCTGCTGAAGGGCCCAGCTTGGGGATTAGATCCCAGAGTTCTCAGTGGCAATCCTCCCTCCCGCCCCCCCACACACAGCTGAGATATCTCTCTGGGACTTTAGTTGCTCTCTGTAGGTGCCTTGCCATCCTTTTCGAGCATCTGCCTCTCCTATCAGTCTCTATGTGGTCTCCACTTTCAGTCCTCAGGTATCAGGATTCTCTCCTGTGAGTTTTCCATTGATTATTCGGGAAGTTTTTCTGTATTTTAGTTGTAATACCAGTTTGTTCCTGGGAGCATGTATGTGCAAGCATTCACTTACTCTGCCACAATTTTTAATCCCTGGGCCATCTCTTTGAAAGTAATGCCTTGCTATTATGGATAATAGTATGGAGTTTCCTCAAAAATTAAAAATGGAACTCCCATTTGACCCAGTGATCCCACTTCTAGGAATATATCCTAAGAAACCTGAAACAGCAATCAGAAAGAATGTATACACCCCTATGTTCATAGCAACGCAATTTACCATAGCTAAAATTTAGAAACAGCCTAAGGGCCCATCAGCAGATGAGTGGATAAAAAAACTGTGGTACATCTACACAATGGAATATTACATAGCAATACTTGTCTCTTACCATTTGCAACAGCATGAATTGACATGGAGAACATGATGCTAGGCGAAAGAAGCCAGACAGAGAAAGACACGTATCACGTGATTTCACTCATATGAGGAATCTAATGAACTAAATAAACTTATGAACAAAAACAGACCCAGAGACATAGAAGCATGAACAGACTGTTGAACCTCAGAGGGAAGGCAGGAGAGGGTGGGTGAGAAGAGATCAACCAGATAGGTATAACCATGGGGTGGTAAAGGCCTGGGGGTGGGGATGGGAGTGGGCTGGAAGAGGTTAATGGAGGGGGGGGGGGGGAGGGGGACCTTTGTAATACTTTCAACAATAAAGATTTTAAAAAAAGAAAACAAAAAAAATTAAAGTTGAGTTTACACACAGTTGGTCCCAACTAAAAACCTATGGTCTAGAATTGGCAACTACTATAACTATCATCATGCAATAAATATGTGGGAGTTTTATTCAAAAAATTAAAAGTATTTTCCTCTGGGGAGCTGGAAATAGAATAGGCAATATTTGAGGAGCACTGTTTTTCATAACAAGCCATAGAGTCCTATTTGACCCTTAAACTATGTGTATGTATAACTTTGATGAAATGCATATTACATTAAAAAAGTAATGTCTTAATGAATCTATTACCTTCTCATTAGAATTTAGAGGCCCTCATCATTTATTGTACTCAACTGAAAAATAGAAAATAAATGTCATTTAACATTCTGTCACATAGGAAAGAGAAAATGTATTTGATGTAGTGAAGTACCTAAAAATGTAGACACAGTACATTTTCTGGACCTAAGAGAGAAAAGAATACTTGCTGTTGTAACCTAAATGAACTTGTGGTACCTTGTAGCCAGTATCATAATGTTACCATGTTCAGAGGACACATTAGTCTGACACCTGGCATTGAAAAGAAGTGTAATCTTTTCTCAAAGAGTTTCAAATAAGGAAGCAATGATGATAAATAGTAAACATTCATCAGAATTATTTTTACTCGTCCATATTGCCAGAGTTTTAGTGGCAACTGTTCAAAAATATCTTTTATAATTTATTCTTTTCTCCATCAATTCTGTATTTTTTTCAAGAATAAGCTCTCTATCCTACCCTTCATAAATCTAATACAATTTAGCCTCTTCACTTCTCCAGTTATTCATTTAAACTTTATCTCAGTCAGCTAAACAAAATTCCTGATAGCTGAATATATACAGAAATATTTTTAGAAGGCGAGAGAGGGGTGAGTAAATAAAACAAAGTTATGAATTCCAAGACATTATAGTTTTGTCCCTGACACCTTGATGAATATAATCTAATTGTGCTTTTTTTCTCTTTTTTCTGGTTTAGCCAAGACTGACAAAATTGAGCCATCACATGAAAAGTTTGCTCAAGATGAAACCACTTTAATTGAAGGAGATAAAACTAGTTTTCCTGATGCTGTTTCAAGAAAGCAATCACAAACCTTTGTCAATATCCAAACTCTCTCTCTCAATTACCATGCACAAAGAAGAGTGGCTAGTATTTCAACACCTGTCAAATCCTCTAAAGATGCTTATTGGAGCATTCCAGAGACTGCTACTGGTTCCATATTTCTTCGAAGTTTTCATCCAGCTTCCAAGCGAGTGCTTGGGAAAGAAACAAATCAAATGGAAAAATCAGGAAAACCAAAGGAAGAGCCATCTAAAATTAAAAGAATTTCTGTTGATGACATGCTGAAAGATATTCTGATTCTCTCCTCAGAGTTCTCCAAACCTTTAAATGCCTCTTCCCCAATTACCAGTCCAAAACTCAAGGAAGTTCTCCCTGAGTATTGTAGGACCTATACTTTTAAGCACCCTCTAATAGATTTAAGTGCAACAATGCCACGCCGTCTCACAAAAACGATGCCTGTTCACGCACAAAAACATTTACAACCGCCTGACCATTTACAACAAACTAAGGCAGTGATAAATATTAATTCTTTTCTTGATACTGTTCTCATACCAGCACCAGTTTTACCAAGAAAACCTCACAGACAGTCTGAAATAGGTACGTCTATTCTGAACCTGGTCTGTAAAAATGGGGTCAGGTAGAGAAAAGGGAAGAGAAAGGCATACAAACAAATGGTGCCCCCCACTTGAGTTTGCAGAGTGGAATGGTTGGATTGCTCTTGGCCTATACACTTAATGTATGGGCTAGAATGCAGTAACAGAAGTTTTGATCTTGCAGGTCTAATAAGACCAAATTGGGTATTCCACCCAAATGGTGGTGGTGGGAAACAGATAAGGCAGTTCAAAAGACCAAAAAATATAATATAAAGGAACAGTGAGAATGAACAATCATTCAGAAGTTAATCTAGATGAACTCTAGAAGCAGAATGTCAATGGTAATGGATGCCTTTATGGGCAGATTACCATGGATAATTCCAATTCATTAAAAGATTAACAATTATAATGAAATCATAACAACATTAACATGAATTTTCACAAGTATTCAAAGTTGTTCTATTTTTTTCTTTTTTCTAGAAACTCATGCAATAGAAAATGAAAATCTGGAAAACGTTCCAAAGCAAAGCATGCCAACCCCACCTGAAGGTAAATGTTAGGTTTATGTTATTCTTTTTAAAATTATATGTAAGATTATCTCTTTGTAAAAGTATTCATGACTTTGTGTGTTTGAGTATGTCTGTGTGATTCACACATATGTCTCACTTCATTTTCAGTTCCTTAAGCTGTTTACTCAGCAACTATTTTTTAAAATATTGACTATAAACCAAACTTTGTACTGATGTTGGGAACATAAAAACCTGCAGTATTCTTAATCTGGCTGGGGCAGATATACATGCAATAATGAGAGTTAGCTACTTGACATGTGCCAGTTACTGTTTTAACATCATTACAGACCTATAAAAATTTTTACAAATACAGTGTTTGTTAAACAACAATTACCAGGCACATAAGGAGAAAGACAAAATAAGTGAAAACTAGCAGAAACAGTAAGCAGTAGAAACATACCCACAGGAGTTCTAGGTATTGGAATGAACAGATACATATTTCAAAATAACTCCATGACTTCTGGCTCTGTCTAAGATTGAGTAGCTTGTATTGGACAAGTCCTTTCACCGAAATCACATACAAAAACTGTCCAAAATATAGAACCCATCTTTTTAAGGTATTGGAGATTAATCATTACAGAGAAGACTGGAGTGGATATGATCCTTGAAATAAGGGAAGCCTATGAGTTAGTTCTACATTTACCTTGGCTTTTTGCCAGTTTGGAGACTAGAGCACAAGTAGATATTGGTAGTATTACTGGGTTGAGGAGATAGCAATCAGACATTGGGACTGCCAATATAGCTGGGACTTGAGGGGCAAAATATCAGAGGAGACAACTGAATCTAAATATCTGCATACAAATTCCTTTAAGGGTGTTGGCTGATTTCTAAGCTGTGCATGTGTAGGACAATACTCTAAGAAACACAGCTGAAAACATCAGCTGAAGTGCTAAAAACTGAACATAGATTTTCACAGTTGCACAAGAGACAATTCTTGAAGTTTAAGCTCTGTCAAAATGGACTTTTGTAAATACCCAGGGTTTTGTGTACTCACAACTGTAAATCGACTTTTGCCCTACCTCATATGATTACCACAGTCAATTTAGTTAACATCCATCACTTCACATAGTTATAATTTTTTCTTGTGATGAAAACTTTTAAGATTTACTCTCAGCACATTTCAAATATAGCAATAATATGAATTTCTGAGCTCACTATTTCTTCTGTTATCACCATCTGTGACATAAATTAACTGCTGGATCTCTTCCATGTCAAAAATCTAAATAAGTCATGCTGCCATCTTTGATTTATTAAATTTATTCCGCTCTGGTGGTCTCCTCTTTGAAAAGTTTTAGGTGAGTTTAAGGGCCCTCAGATTATTCAGAGATCTATCGGGGAATTTCTAACCACCTCTTCACCTAATCTCCCTCCTTTCCACTCAAAACCAAATGCTTTGGCTAGACCATAAGGGTTAATGATCTGGAACCACAGAATTATGTCTTAGCTCAATCATCTTTACTTCTTAATCAATTTCCTTTACTAGGACAAGGAATCTCTATGTCATGCCATACATCATCCTTCTTTATTCTGTGGTTAGATTTCACACCTATTGACCTGAAGTAGGCACACAAGGCCTATTTTAGAAATTAAAAACTGAACATTGTTTTCTTTATTCTAGGATGCATTATTATCTTTCATTGAAGCAATAGCATAAAAATTACCAAGATTGTAAAATATGTTGCTGCAAGTAATACAGCAAGAATGTCTGGAAAAGTAAAAAGTATTTAATAAAATTTCAAAATATTTTCTTGCCACACTTGGGTATATACTTGGACAGGCCATTTATTTTTTTCTGTTTTAGATGTCTTTTATTTATGTTTTGACTATTAAATTTATTGGAGTGACATTGGTTAATAAGATTATACAAGTTTCTAGTGTACAATACTGTAAAACATCATTTTTATATTGCATTGTGTTCACATCACCCAAAGTTTAATTTCCTCCCCTCACCATATATTTGTCCTCCTTTACCCTCTTCAACCTCCCTCTATCCTCTTTCCCTCTAGTAACCACCATACTGTTATCTGTATCAGTGAGTTTTTATTTGTTTATTTGTTACTTTATGGTTTATATCCCATATATGAGTAAAATCATATGGTTCTTGTCCTTTTCTATCTGATTTATTTTGCTTAGCATGATAGTCTCAGTTCCATCTATGTTGTCTCAAATGGCAGTATTTCATTTTAATGGTTGAGTAGTATTTTATTGTATATATGTACCACATCTTCTTTATCTAATAATCCATCTAAGCACATTTAGGTTGTTCCCATGTCTTGGCTACCATGAATAATGCTGCAATGAACATTGGGGTACATGTATCTTCACAAAATGCTTTCAATTTGAGGGGGGATAAATATCCAAAAGGGGGGTTGTTGGATCACATGGTAGCTCTATTTATAATTTTTTTAAAGAACTTCTATGCTGTTTTCCATAGTGGCTCTACCAAGTTACATTCTTACCAGCAGTGTATGAGGGTTCCTTCTTCTCCACATCCTCTCAACACTTGTTATTTCTAATCTTGTTGATAATAGCTATTATAACAGGTGTGAGGTGGTATCTCATTGTGTTTTGAATTTTCCTTATAGCTAGTAAGTTAAGCATCTTTTCATATATCTGTTGGCCATTTGTTCAGTTCCTCTGCCCATTTTTAAAATTGAATCATTTTTTGCCGTTGAGTTGAATAAATTCTTTATATAATATATTTAAATATATTTTTATTTATCTCAGAGAGGAAGGGAAAGGGAGAGAGAGACAGAAATATCAATGATGAGAGAATTGAGCTGGTAACCCGGGAATTGAGCTGGCAACCCGGTCATGTGTCCTGACTGGGAATTGAACCGTGACCTTCTGGTTCATAGGTTGACGCTCAACCACTGAGCCATGCCAGGGGGGCTATATATTTTTTATATTAGCCCCTTATAGGAGATAATGTTGCAAGTATTCTTTCGCATTCCATTGATTGCCTTTTTATTTTGTTGATCGTGTCGTTGTTTTCTGTTGTTGTTTGTAGGCTGTTGTTTTTTTTCCCTATGCAGAAGCCTTTTCATTTAATACAGTCCCATTCGTTTATTTTTGCTTTTACTTCCCTTGCTTTTGGGGTCAAATTCATAAAATACTCGTTGAGACTAAGGTCCATAGTTTAGTACCTGTGTTTTCTATGTATATAATTGTTTCAGATCTTGTATTTAGGTCTTTGATCAATTTTGATTAATTTTTGTGTATGGGGTCAAATAGTCTAGTTTCATTCTTTTGCATGTGACTTTGCAATTTTCTCAGCACCATTTATTGAATAAACTTGTTTCTCCATTGTATGTTTTTTTGCTTTTTTGTCAAAAATTAGTAGTCCAGCACTAGCTGGTTGGTTCAGTGGATAGATAGAGTGTTGGCCTGCAGACTGAAGGGTCCCTGGTTCAAAACCGGTCAAGGGCACATGCCTGGGTTGCAGGCTCAGTCCCCTGTAGGGGTATATGTCAACATTGATGTTTCTATCTCTCTCTTCCTCTCTAAAACCAATAAAAATATATATTTTTAAAAATTAGTAGTCCTAATATTTCTGGGCTTTCAATTCGGTTCAATTGGTTCTGGCAATACTATGCAGTTTTGATTACTGTAAATTTGTAGTATAATTTAAAGTTAGGGATTTTGATAATTCCAGCTTTCTTGTTTTTTCTCAAGATTGCCTTGACTATTAGGGGTCTTTTGTGGTTCCATTGAAATATGATGATTTTTTTATTCTATTTCTTTGAGAAATGCCAATGGGGTTTTGATGGGGATTGCATTAAATCTGTATATTGCTTTGGGTAACATGGCCGTTATAACTATGTTGATTCTTCCAATCCATGCACTTAAAAATATCTTTCCATTTCTTTTCATCTTCTTCATTTCCTTTCAGTAATGGCTTGTAATTTTCAATGTATAGACCCTTCACATCCTTTGTTAAGTTTATTGCTAAGTATTTTAATGTGTTTGTTGCAATTGCAAAAGAAATTGTGTTTTGTTTTGTTTTGTTTTCATTTCTTTTTTGGAAATTTTATTGTTACTACATAGGAATATAATGGATTTTTATACATTGATTTTGTATCCTGCAACTTCAAAGTATTTGTTTATTGTTTCTAACAGCTTTTGGTGGAGTCTTTAGGGTTTTTTATATAAAGAATCATGTCATCTTCAAAAATTGACTAAATTTGGATGCCTTTTATTTTGTTTTCTTGCCTGATTGTTCTGGCTAGGACTTCTAGTACTATGTTGAAAAACAGTGATGAGAGTGGGTTACTTAACTTAGAGGAAAAGCTTTCAGTTTTTCATCACTGAATATGATATTAGTTAAGGTTTATCAAATACTACAGGCCTGGTGCACAAAATCCATGCACTTGTGGGGAGGAGGGTCCCTCAGCCCGGCCTGCGACCTCTCACAGTCCGGGAGTCCTCAGGAGATCCTGCATTGAGCGTCTACCCTCTGATGGTCAGTGCATGTCATAGCGACCAGTCATCCCACCATTCAGTCGATTTGCATATTAGCCTTTTATTATATATGATGGCTTATATTATGTTGAGGTATATTCCATCTATGCCCACTATATTGAGTATTTTAATCATAAATGGATATTGTATCTTGTCAAATGCTTTTTTTTTTACATCTACTGATGTGATCATATTACTTTTATCCTTTATTTTGGTAATGTGGTGTGTTACATTGATTGATTTGCATATGATGAACCATTCTCCTGTCCCTGGAATGAACCCCCCCTTGACCATGACATATCATCTTTTAAATGTATTGTTGTATTTTATTTTCTAGTATTTTGCTTAGGATTATGGTATCTATATTAATCAAAGATATTGGTCTGTAATTTTCTTTTTTGTGTGTTGTTCTTGGCAAGTTTTGGTATCAGGATGTTAGCCTCATAAAATAAGTTGCAAAGTATTGGTTCTTTTCAATTTTCTGGGAGAGTTTGAGAAGAATAGGTATCAAATCTTCTT